ACAAAAGCCAACAGGAAGTGATAAACCCAAGAATATGTAGCGACACGAAGAAAACACAAGCAGAGACCTTTAAAAACCAGAAATGTATGTACTTAAATCACAAGCTACAGAGCCGATATTAAGTCCCTTCTTCCTGCCTCCTTTGCTTTTTACACAGAACCAAACGACAGAGCTCCGGTGTGTGATTTAAGGCCCCGTTTATACGACAACGATTTCAACTGAAAACAGTAAACTTTAGTTGCGTTTTGGCCGGTCGTTTACACAACAGCAGCGCTTTGGGCGTCTGAAAACGCAACGTTTTGAGAACGGGTTCCAGAGTGCAAGTTTTTGGAAACGGCAGCGTCTCCATTGTCATGTAAACTTGCAATATGCAGTTCCTCTGAAAATGGAGACTTTTCGCACATGTGCATTACGGTTCCAGTCACTAGTCACGCCGACCGTCACAACAACAATGCCGAGCTCTGTTTGTGCTGCTCACCCTGTTGATTTGAAGTGAAGTGAAGATCTGTTACTGTAGCAACTCCACCTCGTCGTCCATCCAGACAAAGTTATCTGTGCATGCTTTCGCCATTGTGTCTTCTTTGTTTTGGTTTGTAATCACCGCGTTGTAGAGGAAGGCGCTTCAGCGCAGGCGCATGGCGTCACGCCGTGGTGTTGCTTTGCTTTGTTATTCAGGTTAAAGTGGGAAGAAGCAGCGGGTTTATAGGGCAGCTGAGTGAAGTGGAGCCTGAGGAGGAAACACCGGGACCGTCTGGATGTAATAGTCCGTGGAGGTGCTGCGGTGCTCGGCTGCACAGATAGGAAACCCCTCGGCTGACAGGATGTACCACTCTCTCACTCCGCTCTCTCTCACGCAGGCGCAGAACGTACGTGCTACTTGGCCGTCGGATGTAGTCCGTGTAGTGTGTTCAAATGCAACTGACACAGGGCGACGTGAGGCGACGTAGACGACGCAACAGTTGGCTTTCGTTGCTGCTAGTTCTTTGATGTCGGTTTGATGTTTATGCACCTTAACAGAACAGCGTTGGCCTCTAGTGTGACGTATAACATGAGCATCAGCAGCCCTCTGTAAACACTAACAATAGTATAACACGGCAACAACAATCATTTAGCGTCTCTGTTATATGGCGGCAGATTGTCCTCTGCTCGGAGAGTAAGGAGCTCCTGGACCTCATTGTTTTCACTGTTACATTTTTGGCTACTGTTTTTCCTTTTCGAGTTAGCTGCTAACTGCTGCTAGCTTCTTTGTAAATCTTACGTGTTGGGTCACGCACATGTTTTGTCCATGGTCCTGTGGCAGCTTAAAGGTGAGACAACTCTGTCCCCCCATTCTGCGATTGTACCTCAGAGCACTGCGAGGCGGCATAACAGTGTGAAAGCCCCACCTCTAAGATGCAGTGTAAAGAGAGCTCAGGAGACACAGAGCGAAAATACTGCAAATGTAATGCGGCGAAACACCACATGAGAGTAAATCTGGGGTTGTTTTTACTTTCACTTTCACCTGAAATGTCCAGTTTAGACCAAAGACTCACGATGAGATGAGTTGAAACAGGCGACTGCTGTCAATGCTCCGTTCTGCAATGTTCTAAAAATCTGCCGGTTCACACCAGGTCAGCGAGATGAGACAGTGTATCATCTTCATGCAACAGCTCTCTGTGCTTCCAGTCTGATTTCCAGTGACATCACATGTCGATGACAATCATTTACTATCTCTGTTACATGGCGGCTGATCTCTTCCTCTGTTCAGAGGGTAAGGAGCTCCTGGACCTCTTTGTTTTCCCAGTTTGTGGACATTTTCAGCCTTGAGTTAGCTGCTAACTGCTAACAGCTGCCTTTCAAATCTCTTGCACACATAACACGTCGACAAAACATGACACCGATGCAACCCATGATCCCGCCCTGTCGGCTGTCCCTTTTACACAGATGTCAAATCAGCGTTGTTACTACCTCTGCTGCTGCCTTAAAGGGGAGACAACTCCCAACTCCCATTGTTCGACTGTACCTTTTATACATAGCGACAAAGCGGAACTCATTCAGCGGCTCCTCTGGCAGCAGCACAGCGTCTCTCCCTCTCCTCTCTGATTCTGTCACAAACCTTTGGTGATGGAAACCTACGTGAATAAACTCCATATATGTGACTGTGTCAGGTTACAGCCTGATGATTAGAGATGATTTATATATATAGATCTCAGGGGACGTTTTTTAAATGTGTAATTAGTGGTAGATTTGATTTAGTTGAACTGTTAATATTGTGACAGAATCTGACTCTGAGTTACTGTTGTTGTTCACAAACTAAAGAAATGAGATCATTTTTCTTTAGTTTTATTAGATGACTCATTTTGTTGCAGTTCTATCGTCTTAAATTAATAATAAAATATTCTTTTACTAATTTGTTATATCATCAAGAATATTGTTATCACAAAAATACCCTGATATTATTTTAGGGCCATATCGCCCACCCCTACTGTCAACAGACTAGATTATTTTTATGTTGTTGATCACACACAGAGCACACAGTGTCTGTGGTGTGTGGTGATGCAAGATGCAGCTGCTGATTTAAAGAGAAATCACTGAAAATACAGAGATGTACTTGCTGTTTCGTTTTTACGAAATGTTCTGGTGGACAGACTGAGAGTCGTGTATGTGAGTGCATTTGGATGTCAACAGGAACAAAAACAGACGCACACTTATCACGTAGATCACCTCCCTCTACATCTGTATCAGATTAATTCACTGTGCTTTTGTTGGCATGACGTTTCATGTGTGTTGCCAAAGCACCATCACAGTTGAAGACAGTGGATCCACAAACAGTTAACGACAATGTGTTAATAAACAACAAACACATAGACAGAGATTAAAAACAGAATAGAATATGTGAAGTGAAGGAGTAAATAGAGTCAGAGTGTGATCTGTAAGGAGATGAACTCCAGCTGTCTCCCAGGCTGTGACATCACTGACGTATTTTGCTGCATCCTCGACACTGACACTATTTTCTCATTTTAGTCTGGTCAGTAGGGCTGCCAACGGCATAGAATTTTCCTAGTCGACCAATAGTCGTCATTTGGGGCTATTAGACGACTAATCGCCCACATGTTTACGATTTTAATGTAATTGTTAAATGATGTATTTTAGACAAGGCAACAGAGTTGAGTGGAAGGTGCAAGAAAGAATCTCACTATATAATGAGGAAAACTCTGTGTGAGTGTGTGTGTTCCACGTTTTTCTCCTCACTGACTTGGTCAATCCATGTGAAATTTGGCACAGTGGTAGAGGGTCATGGGAGGATGCCAATGAAGCAATATTACATCAATTGGCCAAAGGGGGGCGCTATAGCAACCCATTGAAATGTCAAACTTTGAATGGGCATATCTCATGCCCCGTATGTGGTAGAGACATGAAACTTTGCACAGAGATGCCTCTCCTCATGAGGAACACATTTGCCTCAAGAACCCATAACTTCCGCTTATATAGATTTTCCACCATTTTGAATTTTTTGAAAAACACTTCAAATGGATCTCTTCCTAGGAAGTTTGAGCGATCTGCATGAAACTGGGTGAACATAATCTAGGGACCAATATCTAAAGTTCCCTCTTGGCAAAAGTTGGAAAACTTACTAAAACTGAGCTTCTATAAGGCAATGAATATTGCGGAGGGCGTGGCTCATCACATAAAGGTGTATAACATCTCAAGGGTTTCACCCATCACCACGCAACTTTGTAGGCATATGACCACACATAATCTGAGGGGACCCCTCCATTATTGACCCCATCAAACAAAATGGGGGCGCTAGAGAGCTCATTTCTTATCTAGGCCTAACCGCCATATGGATTTTTACTAAACTTGGTAGATATGTAGAACAGGACGCCTCAAGGTGACTGGAGAAATTTAACTCTAATTGGCAAATGGGTGGCGCTATAACAACAGAAAAATGCTTCAAAATGGCTAAAATGCGACCGATCGCTGTGGCTCCCCCTGTGGACCAATGTTGGTGTTGTTTTCTAATGTTTGGTATGACTAAGTCATGGTATGGTATGCTGTACATAATCACAGAAACTGTCAGTGTGTCATTCTGTCAGTCAGTCATTCTGTCTGTCCCACGTTTTTCTACTCACTGACGTGGTCAATCTATGTGAAACTGCACATAGGCATTGAGGACTGGTATAGGTAGAAGGTGACAAAGCTACCAGTGGGTATGGACTAGTTGAATTAGAATTAATTGAATTAAATTAAATTATAATTTTAAAAAAATTAAAAAAAAAAAAAAGAAAATTAAAATGTCACAAAAAATGTCCTTCCACCACCATCAAACCTCCAAAGGATCCTCCTTGGGCGTCTTGAACTCCATGTAGGCTGCCACCTCATTTTCGGGCTGCAAAGTGTCATGGCTGGAGTCCTCCACGTCGGTGACCAATGTGACCACGGGGTCAAAGGTTACACTTGTGTCACTGACTTTCAAAATAAAAGCAACTTCAGCTGGATAATAGTGATTCAGATGTTAGAATATTACACATATACTGCACATCTTTTACCTTGTTTTATTCTGAAAAGGATATCTATATATTTCACTCTCACCTGCTGCCCGCCTGCGTGGAGTTCATTCTTACATGTGTATTCATATATATACATGTTTTTACCTGTTACACAGCTTTTTTGCAGGTTAACCTGGCAGTGCAGGCCCCTTAATTTCAAGTCTTCTCAGATTGTCTCTCCAATGGGATGAAAACATAATTTATGAGAACATGGCAGAGAGAGGATGAGGTGTCGTAATCAGCTCCTTTTTGATAAAAGGTCAAATAAATCTTGGATGTTCTGAGTTCAGTGTCTCCTCTGAATCATTACAGGACATCTGCAGTTTGCTCTGACACTCTGTCTGTGGCCTGAGGTGAACTTTGTTTAAATCAGATTACACATCTGTGTCTATGATGATATTGATCATGAGTTCAGTCAGTGTTTCACTGTGTGTGTGTGTGTGTGTGTGTGTGTGTCTGTCTCTCTCTCAGGGTTCCCTGGTCCCAGATGAGGAAGCAGTACTTCAGCTCTGGCATCAACAAGCGATCGCTGGATGCCATCGAGAGGGCGGCGTTCTTCGTAACCCTAGATGATGAAGAGCAGGGCATGAAGGGAGACGACCCAGCGGGGAACCTGGACCGCTATGCCAAGTCTCTGCTCCACGGGAAATGTTATGACAGGTGAGGAAAGAGACCACACCGGAGACTTGACAGAGGCAGCTGCAGTACATTATCTCAGGCTGGATTCAGATTGAGATGAATCACCACGGCGTCTGCTTTTGATTCCTAAAATAACAACTGAAGAAGTGTCTGATGTCATGCCAAGAAAAGATTTCACCAGTCATCCCAGATAATGAAAATGAAAGCCACACTGGCAGAGTCGACCCAGATGTCATTACAGAAGGATTCCCCTTAAACACCAGCGCAGAGTTGGGGATGGGACAGAGGGAGGAAAATAGAAGTAAAACCTTTGAGTCACTAATTTTAGCATTTAGTTTAGCAAACTCCGTAATTTTAAGGGCACTGGGGCTGCACCTAACAGTTATTAGGGTTCTAGAAGGGAGCACCCCTCACACAGTGAGTCTGATGCTGCTCAGCGTGCTCTACGAAAAACACACAAGAACCATGACTGGAACACGGAAAGTTTTCTGTAAGGAGAACATGACGGAGCACCTGGAGGAAACCCACGCTGACACGGGGAGAACATGCAAAGTCCACACAGAGTGGTTTCCCACCCTGGGGCTCAAACCAGGAACCCTCTTGCTGTGAGGCGACCGTGCTAACCACTGCAACACCGTGTCACCCTGAATCATACCCCGAAAGTGTTATTCAAATTGACTGATAGGGGGCGCTACAAATGCAAAAAAATATCCTATCCAGCTTTCAACTTTTAAAGGTCCATGCTGGCTTGAACCCCAAAATTGTTGCTTGCAGCTATTTGTCGATTAATCTAACAGTTATTTTTCAATAGGTCGACTGATCTAACAACTAATTTATTTCATAACTATTCATGTTTTATTACTGGATTAATATAACATTTAAAGCGACACTTACCTTTCTGGAAATTTTACGCTTTTCTTTATTTAGGTTAAAAAGCTATTAATAAGCTGATGGCACACTAAAATGTAAGTGAATTCCACCAGAGATCAAAAGTCATAATTTTACCATTCTCATATGGTTCTAAGAAAACTCCGACCAATCATTGTGATTGGCCGGGCGTCCTGTCTTCCCCACGTGGAGGGGTCCGACAGACATAACTGCTCGCGTAACAGGGACGCTTATGGGTATAAACTTTTCTCCGTGACAATTTCAGACAAATGCAACCACCTCTTCCACCTCCAGCTGCTCCAACAGGGAAATCAGTTGGCAAAAGAAAGAATATAACAGAAAAAGCTAACACTGAGAGAGAACTCGATGCTGCAAGAGCCAAAACTCGGGTCAACATCGGCTCTGCTTTCGAGCGATGGCGAAGACTGATGCAGCTTCATCCTGAGACAAAAAGGGACGAGATGGTCGCAGAGTTTCTGCTGGACTGGTATTTTTAGTTTGCCTCTAATGTAACATAGGCTATAACGTTATATATGACAACACAGCACAGTTGCTAATGGCTAACGTTAGCCTACTGTAGCGTAGCCTCTGAAACATTAACGTTATCTTCCTTGTGCGTTTCCACTTACTAGTAACGTTAACGCTACTATCTAACGTTAGCCTACTGTAGCGTAGCCTCTGAAACATTAACGTTATCTTCCTTGTGCGTTTCCACTTACTAGTAACGTTAACGCTACTATCTAACGTTAGCACTGTAACCTTATTCTAAAACCCATCAGTCATCACTCACTCCGGTTGAGTTTTAAAACTCCGGGGTTGCATTTGTAACGTTACACTCGCTCCCCTTCTGTGTACTTACCGTTACCATGCCAACGCCGAAGTCTATCATAGATGTAATGAGGACGTAATAGAGGAGGCGGGAGTTGTGGATGTTCAAATTTTTTCTAAGTGCTGTGTGAAATGCAGGAAAGGTAAGAGTTGCTTTAGATAACCCCAAATACAAATGACAAAAACTTGGCACATGAATCTTTAAGTGGCCGCGGGCCCCGTTCTGCCGCCGTAGCCGGAGTACTGCGGTATGACGGTAACCACAAAAGCAGTACAGCGGCTCATGTTCACTGAGGTAAGTTACCGTCACCGCGAATGCCGCCCAGCCCTGCCTGTGACACATACATTCATTTAATCACCGTATATCACAGCAGTCATTTCATTGAACTGGAGAATCAGGATTTTTTCTTAGGTACTTGAAACTGAAATGATTGTAACGTGGATTTAGAGATCATTACTGGCAAATGTGTTTTTGCATCAGTGTGGGCCGAGGGAAGAAACATCATGGTCTGTAATGTTAGTTTAGGCTGTTTTCTGACTCGTGCGTGCCTGTAACAGTAAATAGAACATATAAAACAGCTGAATATCAAAGTTAGATGATGCATGTAGAATCATGTGGCGGTGGAGAAAGTTGAAGTGACTCCTACTAACAGAGACGCTCCCTGTGTTGATAACCCTGATGATATCATGCTTGGGTGGGGACAAAAAGTAAACAGGACGTTGCTTTCTGCTGCCAGATGCTTTGGAGTGCTGCAGTTGTTCTCCTGTGAGAAAGAGACGTCATTTTCACTCTGCAGGCGAGGTTTTCAGCTGCACCTCCTTCTGTAGAGGAATCCATGCTTTCACTGCATGCAGCCTACAGTATTGTGCCTCACTGGCGCTTGTTTTGCAAATGGATTAAGTCAGTGAATCGACCCGCCCCTTAAGGCCTACAGGTTCATGTCAAATACACTGGTGGGGAGTCGGGGGGGCTGCCAGGTTTAGACAATAGGTGGAAGTGCTGTGAAATGCCCCGAAGCCTGAAAGCCACTCTGAAGCTCTGTGACCAGCAGCAGGGGAGCTGCTGAGTTCAACTTTAGACAGGAGGCACAAACAGTCACAGGAGCCAATACTGCCACTGCAGTACCGCAGCTCTGATCTGCTGGGATAGTTTCAACATGTGGTCTGTTTTCTTTTCTCTGTCATATTCGTAATAGGCCAATATCACTGTGAGACGAGCAGACACACACTCTGATAGGCCGAGACAGATGATAATCTCTATGTCGGATCAGAGAAGAGCCGAGGAGCAGGACCGTCTACGACACACTCCTGGAGCTTGTTCAAAAGCTACATTATTGTTATCACAGAAAAAAGTAAAGTACTGGTAAAAGATACTGTTGGGTACCAGTTCAAATGTGAACCAACCCTATGAGCATGACTTTCGCCTTGGGACAGGCATTTTAAGTCATTTTCATATTTGAGTGTTCCCTTTCAATTATCATAGAGTGAAATAAAGGGTGTGTTCCAACTACAGGGGGATCACACTCCTCAGCCTACCCGGTAAGGGTAGGCTGAGGAGTGTGGTAGGAGGCTAAGGGTAGGCCAACCCCAACCATGGGGTTGGTGGCCCCTTGCTAAGGGCCATCCAGTCCCTGTTCCGAAGGAGCATGAGTCTGGTTCAGGTGGCCGGCAGTAGGTCGGACCTGTTCCCGGTGAGAGATGGACTCCACCAGGGCTGCCCTTTGTCACCGGTTCTGTTTATAACTTTCATGGACAGAATTTCTAGGCGCAGCCGAGGAGTGGAGGGGGTCAGGTTCGGTGACGGGAGGATCTCGTCCCTGCTATTTGCGGATGACGTGGTCCTTCTAGCTCCATCGAACAGTGACCTCCAGCTCTCGCTGGGATGGTTCACAGCTGAGTGTGAAGCGGCTGGGATGAGAATCAGCACCTCCAAGTCTGAGGCCATGGGTGGATTGCCCACTCCAGGTCGGGGGGGGGTCCTTCCTCAGGTGGAGGAGTTTAAGTATCTCGGGATCTTGTTCACGAGTGAGGGTAGGATGGAGCGGANTCAGGTGGAGGAGTTTAAGTATCTCGGGATCTTGTTCACGAGTGAGGGTAGGATGGAGCGGAAGATTGACAGGCGGATTGGGGAGGTGTCAGAAGTGATGCAGGCGCTTAACCAGTCCATTGTGGTGAAGAGGGAGCTGAGCCATAAAGCAAAGCTCTTGATTTACCAGTCGATCTACGTTCCAACCCTCACCTATGGTCACGAGCTCTGGGAAGTGACTGAAAGAATGAGATCGCGAGTACAAGTACAATTAATTTCCTAAAATCTAAGCTCCTTTAAATGCAAGGTCATACTTTCTCACGTTTCCTCCATGTGTCCTCTCTCACCCCTCAGGTGGTACGATAAATCCTTCTCCATTGTCATCTACAAGAATGGGAAGAGTGGACTGAACGCCGAGCACTCCTGGGCCGATGCACCGACCGTGGCTCACCTTTGGGAGGTGTGTGTGTGTGTGTGTGTGTGTGTGTGTGTGTGTGTGTGTGTGTGTTCATTGGCTTTTGTCTCACAAGTGTGTTTGAGCAGTTATCCATCACACTCTGTGACTCACAAGGGAAGAAAGTAAAAGAGTCGGTGCTGCTGGAGTCAGAGACCCATTTCCGAGAAGCGGCTGTGTAGAGGAGAAGTGCTGGATGAGAGAGCAGCACAAATGATTATTACTCTGCAGCTGCTTGACATCATGTTACCACCACGGCTACCACTGCTGCTGCACGACAGCATGAGGAATTCAGGGCCGGCTGATGTGGCTTAGAAACAGTATCTCAATTTTTTTAGGCAGTGCTGCGACGTACAAAACATATCTTGATATTTTCTTTGAATAACTGTTTGATTTAACCCTTTGATGATGAAATCTGAAATTAAATTTAGAGGGAGCACAGCTCGTATGTGACGTTTCAGAGGGCTCTTATTCTGAAAATACACATCAGAATGTCCTGTTATCGTCGAGTGAGACTCTGATGTGGTGCACTGTCATTCTGAAGGCAGATTGTTCTTCGGAAGTTTATTCTTTATCATTCAGTTTGACTAAATACTCACATAGTTGGAATCTCTGAAACACAGTTTGCAGGTGAGAGTTATTTTTTTTAAAAAAAATATCATTAATTTTATTTATCATTTAATATTTGTTCCTTTTGTTTTATTTATTTCAGTGTTTTTATTTATCATTAACTGACTGACTTATTGAATGAATCTAAACTTGCCGATCATGTTCAACAGAAAGTAACTTTTATTTTAAAATCAGTGATGACACATTCAGAGCAGATTCATGGTGCTGCTACCGTCCACAGCAATTTTTTTTGTAGCTACAAATGCGCCTTTGAGGCAGCGATACCCGTGGCCATCATGTTTTCAGGTTTTTCGTACGTCTGTGTACGTACTAGACTAGATTACAGTTTTTTGGGCCGATACTGATTTCCGATTTGCAGAGTGTTTGGACGGCGGATTGCAATTTCATTTTTTTCAAACCACTTTACAGCACACAAGATATTGCAGTATTTTCTATCTTTGCTTTATTAGAATATTTTAACCAAGATACAGCCAGCTTTTCAATAATCATCTCAAACAAATGAACAAACAAACAAACAAACAGTGACACGGGTTAAGAAACATTTTCCTTTTTGCTCAAATATAACTTCAGGTACAGTATTAAAATAAATAAGTAAAAAAGGCATACATAAATAAAAACATAGATAAATAAAATAAGAATTCTTGGTTTATAGCATTTGTGGGTAATTTCTTGAATAAAAGTAAAAATATCTCCTGTGTAAAATTCACACAGGTCTTCAGGACGCGCCCGCCAGTAAACGTGCGGACACGCGCCTCGTCAGTTTCAAGCAGCACAGTGCAGCAGTGAGAGCTCCGCAGTTCACTTTAACAGTTTCTCCTTCTCTCTTTTCATGTGTGCATGTGAATGATTAAGGTGAGAAGCCGCCCATGTTTCACTACCTCACATCGCCCAAGCCGTGAGTTGCACATACGCATGTGTGTGCTGCTGATGTTACATGATGTCAATCATGCGGCGCGCCGGGAATTTGACCGCCGTTTTAAATCGGCATATTTTAGACTGACCGGCCGGTCGCAGGTCATGGCCGATCACGTGAAAACCAGCCCGATTCCGAGCACTGCTGATTAATCTGTGCAAGTCTAGTACGTACATATATCCCACACTCCTGAACGCGATAGCTGAAGAACGCCTTGAGGGATTTTTTTCAACTTTGGCACAAATGTCCACTTGGACTTACTGATGAACTAATGAGGATTTGGTCGTCAAAGGCCAAAGGTCACTGTGACCTCACAAAAACATGATTTTGGCCATAACTCATTTGATAATAATAAAAAACAGAAAAAATGCGACCAAACTGAACTGTATCGGACTGTTTGGTGGAAATGGGGCTTAAAAGGTGACCAAAAATGACAACCGCATTTTCAGTTTCAGCAGCCTAAAGCTGACGCCTTGTTTCCAGCCTGGAAACCACTTTTAGAAATTCGTGTTGAGCTCTGTGTTTGACTCATTGCCCAGCCCTGAAGTGAGTCATTGTTCCGTGATGCAGTAACTCCAAAACAGATCCCACAAGTAGATATTTGTTTGTTGGACACCTGACAGCGGCACTGAAAAGATTGTGTAACAGCTGCAGTTAAGAGGTCAAATATCTGCATAGTCCTGCAGGTGTTTGTTATTTCAACAATACAAAAAACAGGTGAATAAGATATAAATTGATAATATAATATTACTTTATATGGCACCTTTTGAAACAGTGGGACAATGTGATTCACACATACAAAATAATACATAAAAAAAACATCACTCAAAAAAAAGAAAAAGCAACAACAAACCACATCAATCAGTTACAGAAAGTCGGGCTTATAAAAGTGAGTTTTCATAGTGATGTAACAAAAGTTAGTGAGGTTGCAAGGCAGATTTTAACATTGAAATTGTTAAGTTTTGGGACCCTGACAGCTAAAGTACAGTGTCCCTTGCTTGTTAGTCTAGACTGAGACAGTGATGATTTTGTTGATAAAAACTATGATGACAATTTTTCATCAAACATTGGATTCAAAGATAACACTTAGATTTCTGGCATTGGACTGAACAGAAGGCGCAAAGAAATGTATCATTGAACACTGAAGTGTCCGGTGGCCCAAAGAATATTATTTCAGACTTTTTGTCATGGAGTCGGAGGAAGTTATTTGACATTCAGTACTTGATGTCCTTTAGAATATTTTTAAAAATAAGTCTGTTTGGGGATCCTGGTTTTGTAGACACATAGAGCTGAGTGTCATCAGCATGACAATGGAAAGAAATTTACAGAATAGAAGAGGACCTAATTCAGAGCCTTGTGGTACACCGCAGTGCATAATGGCAGTAGATGATGATAAGTTACCAAGAGTGACTGTAAACTGTCTGAGAGTTAGGAGATGAACCATTTGGGGAAAGTGTCTGCTCCTACAGTGTCCTACTGTGATCAACTGTTGTCAGATCGAGGCTGACACAACATCAGACAGATAATAAAAACAAGCACATAGATGCCTCATTGAATATTTGATGCAGAGAGCGCAGGCGGTGGTCTGCTGAGCGGTGGGATGAAGACAAGAGCTTTGATGACTCATTCTCTGGAGTACATATTTAGCATGTGTCCACTGTTGATGGCGTGGGTGCTCAGTTATGATGGAAAGACCACTGTGTGGGTGTGCTGAAGCGCTAATCGGATCGTGAAACTGTAGCTTAAATGCTACATTATCACACCCACTGCAGTGAAGCTCGTCTGTCTAGGTGGGAGTGGAATTTTCCTGAGGAACTTTTTCCATCAATAGCGAGCACCTACTGCTTCTTGAATTAGTCATTTATTCCATCATCAGTGGTTCAACATGTGAAGAGGCACGCACAGGAAATGTGTGCATGAATGTGTCTGTATGAGAAAGATACTTGAATGATTTTGTGTTGGTGTGTGTTTGGATGTTAATATGAACCTGTTTCCTATCCCTCCAGTTCACTCTGGCCACAGACGCCTTCCAGCTGGGCTACACTGAGGACGGACACTGTAAAGGCGACGTGGACCGCTCACTGCCCCACCCACAGAGACTGGCCTGGGACATTCCCACGGAGGTACACACACTCTGCGACGTGTCTGTTAAAACACTGAGCCCTCACGTCCACATGGACCCCGCACATGCAGTTGTGATCATATCGTTTTTCATATCACATGGGAGCGTTTTCATGCTCTTACCTGCACCTGCCTGTGCGAGCAGGCACACGTCTCAAGAGCTCTCAGGGCTGCCAGTGTTGTTGATTATGTCATGAAACCAACACGCTTGAACAGTGGAGTCGTAGAGTTGTGTGGAGTTATCCCCATTAGACCTTCTTATATACAGCTGTCATCAGACATGTTGTTATGAACATGTGTAAACCTTTACAGGTGGAGTCTGTGATTCCAGTCCAGCATGTTTTGTCAAATTCTATCTGTCTCTTCTGTGTGCACGGAAGAAAATCAGGTGTTCCAACACAGCCTTGGCTCTATCAGTGTGAAACAAATTGGCTTGGACTGAGCCATGACACTATGGTAGAACGTCATGCTCATGCACAGGACAGGGGAAAGACTGTGGGAAAAAGAGAAAGGCAGTTGGAGCGAGAGGAACGTAAAACATCTGTCAGTACATGCTGACATGCTGAAATCCATTTGTTTGATTGGTGACCCGCCTGCACTTCCTCTCACTGCACAAAAATGAAGCCAGAATATCTCAGATAAGGCTCCTGCCGTTTGGAGCCAGAGGCTGCGTGGTAGGGATCTCTGGGTTATCGAGTTCCAGCCCTGTCTGACCAATGACAAGCAGCACCATTGACGGCGGGCACACCAGCTGGCACACACTGCTGTCAATCATGACGTCAAACCTTCTTTTATAGCATCAAAAAATAATAATGAAAACCAAACCAAAAACAAACATCAGTGGTAAGAACTACTGAACATGAGGTGCCACACTTCCGGTATTTTTGTGACTTTTTTAGGAAAAGTTATTCAATAGTCAGTGTTTCATAATGAACATGAAATTGAATTTCCCGTTGAAGAAAAGTTTGTTTGCTGTTATAGTTTTTAGAAAGAAAATTGCAATTGTTGCACCTCTAACTGAGGAGCTGACTCTCCTGAGCCGTTAAAATTTATCTTGATTAAATGCATTGATATAAAGAGTTGGTAGCAGTTATAATAATGATACTTTTATCCTTTGAATGAGAAAACAAAAGCGTCTTTGCTCTCCTGGAGGATGATGAGCGACCGCTTCCTGCACAGAGAGCAATAACATTCCCACGTGCAGGTGTCAGAATACTAGTGAAAAACAAAGTCACATGAAGTTAAAAACACAACTATGGAAAACAATCAAATCAAATCCTTTCACTTACAGACGAGGTTGTTTTTATTCCAGTTTTACTTTCTAATTCATTTCTTATGTCATTATTGATAATGAGGTCAGATGTGCGCCCACAGATTACACATCCCAACAGTCTGAAGTTACTGTGGAACATATTTAACACCACATATACATGCACTGTATGTGGCGCTGAACTCTACAAAACACAATGTGTGATAAAGGCTGTAAAAGCAGTGTATGTAGAAATACAATAGTTTTTCTATTAATGATGCATTTATGAGTCTCATAGTTTTTGCAGATGTGTATTTTGGCTTCTTTCTTTAAGTTTGACTTGACGACCCGCACTGAGAAAAGTGTGAGTAGGAAGAATACAGGACTAACTCCTGTTATTGCCAGTAAGCCACACTAACTGGCACAAACTGGTCTACAGATCCTCAAAGTGCCACAGCTCAGTGTGTTGCTGCTGGTGTCTCCCATTGAAAACATGTGTGCTGTGAAAGAATCTCACTATATAATGAGGAAAACTCTGTGTGAGTGTCTGTTCCATGTTTTTCTCCTCACTGACTTGGTCAATCCATGTGAAATTTGGCACAGTGGTAGAGGGTCATGGGAGGATGCCAATGAAGCAATATTACATCAATTGGCCAAAGGGGGGCGCTATAGCAACCCATTGAAATGTCAAACTTTGAATGGGCATATCTCATGCCCCGTATGT